TCCCCCCCCCCCCCCCCCAGACCCCTGTAGGATCCTACTGGTCATTCCTCCCACTGCGGATGTTAAAAGGATATACGTTCCACCATGTACAACTGCACAAATGATGTGTATGCTTACACCCCCTTCTTTAGATCACATTGAAAACAAAATATCAATAACAAGAATAGCAGCATAAGCCAGAATTATAGCAATTACAGGAGTTACTGAATCCAATTTAAAGCACAAGGTCTTCAGCCTCTTCCCAGATATGATAAAAATAAGGAAAAATTGATGACTATTCCAAATCATGAATACCATATATATACTCAAGTACCATGAGCCCCTGAGTAAGGCATGCACCCCCATTTTTCTGCAAGAAATTTTTCTGAAACCCAATTCAGGTGTGAGACATGTACCCCATTTTTTCATTTTTTTTTGCAGAGATTTAAGAACTGTACTTTTTTGTGGATCCATTTTCCCCTATACTGACATTTCATTTTTTATTCTTTTCCATTTCTGCAGCTCCCTCAATCTTTTGTTTCATTTACTTAGCTGAATCTTGAAATTGCCATACAGTACCTCCAACCATGATTTTCCATGAACAAGACCTGGCGCCACTCATTTTTTCTTGATTTCTTTTAATGTACCTGCATATGATGCTCAGGGTTTCCAAGAAGTTTTCCTCAAAAATGTTACCTTAGGGTACCAAGCGCATCCTTTTTCTGCCTTAAATTTTGGAAAAAAGGTGCAAGTGATACTCAAGTACCAAATTTACTTGAGTACCACGCGCCCTCAAGTGGGGCATGCACAGGTGTTTTCCAGTTGGAAATTCGGCTAAAATCTTTTACCCAAGTAAGATGCTCAGCTCAATTTTTTGTTAATCTAAAACCACAAAAATTTGAAAATAAATTCAAAAAATTTGACTTTAGGCATGAATTGAACAAAAATTGGATCACATTTTTCAGTAAACTTTTTCAGTGAAAAAAAAATTCTTTTTACATATGTTTTAAATCTCTCCATTATAATATTAAGTATGATGCACACACAACTTCCTAAAACTTCTTGAAAAATTTGTACCTGCTTACGACGCACACCCCTTTTTTCTCCTGAAATTTGAGAAAAAGGTGCGCGTGGTATACTTCTCCATTATAATATTAAGTATGATGCACACACAACTTCCTAAAACTTCTTGAAAAATTTGTACCTGCTTACGACGCACACCCCTTTTTTTCTCCTGAAATTTGAGAAAAAGGTGCGCGTGGTATACTCAAGTAAATACTGGTAAATACAGTTTTGATTGTCACTGAACCAGCCCCTACCTCAAAAAAGGTATCGTTCTTCTTATCCAATGCTTCTTCTTTCCAACACACACAAAAATCGTCAGCAAAAAAAAAATAGCCAGAGAGAGAATAACCCACCAGAATGCGAGGAGGAGAAGTAGTCGTTGGTCTGCTGCTGCTGCTGCTGTTGTTGTTGGTAGCACAGTACAGAGTAAGAGGCGTCATTATGGGCCCCGACACTGTCGTCATTATTGGTGGCGGCTGTCGCTGCTGCTGCAGTAGCCGAGAGCAACAAATGCGACGTCGGTGCCGCCGCAGAAAAAGCCGACTTGTTATTATTATTATTATTTGAGAGACCAGCACGGGCGACAACGACAGCATCGTCATCGATGTCGTCGTCGTCGTCGTCGTCGTCATTGTTGTTGTTGTCGTCATCGTCGTCGTTGTCCGCGTCAGCTGCACACAGTCGCACGCGACCCACGAGGCCTCCAGCACCAGCACCAGTGGCGCCTCGTCGGCCCCCTGACGACGGCGCCGGGAACTCGGCGATGGCCGACGCGAACTCCACGCTGAACGCGTCGTCGAACTGCTCGCCGCTCATCTTCAGCCTCATCTTTCACAATCCACACACACACACACAATTTCAATTTATGTGTATGTGTGTGTGTGTGTATGATGACAGAAAGCACAGGAGTTGGTTTCGTCTTCTTTGCAATGATGATATAATCCTCTTCGGGATTTATTATCATGGAGCACTATAAAATTATTATTGGTGGCAGCACCACAGGAGGTGCATCTCTCACTGATGCATATTTTCTTTTATATCACCCAATGCATCTATTCTTTTCTCCTGCCATCAAACGAATCAACAGAAAAGAAGAAAGAACATACAATTTTTTAGAGTGGACATTTTAGAAAACTCAAACCTCTGCAAGTCAAAATTTCTGGAGTTCTTTTGGCTAGAGCACCATATATGCTCCAATAACCACCACAGCATCTAATTGAAATTTTCAGTTTTCACCCCTGGCCTTTAACCCTTGCATGGACAGCAAAGTCGAATTATTTTTGCAAAATTTTGTTGCACCTCAGATGAGAAGAAAAGAAAGAAATGACAACAGGGAGTTGAGAACAAAGTTGGGAAAATTTTCCAATGTTTTTTTTTCTTCTTGCGCAGAAAAATTTTGCTGGAAAATAAAAAAAATGCTATATCAAGCAACAGGCTTTTCTTGGATTAATCCCAACTTTGCCTCAACCCACCTGGAAGGGCTTTTCTGACATTCAGAAAACTTGAAACACCCCAGCATATGAAAATAATCCAACTTCTGGGCAATGGGAAAGAACCCTCTGTTGTTTGAGGGCTATAACAGCTTGATGGATGGAAACAGCTTCCTCTCCATCCCAGGACAAATTCAGACTTTTTTTTGGTCTGGCAAGCATTTTATTTTCACCCCAAGTTATTCAACCCTTGTTATAGGTGGGCAACGGCAAAGTTTGATTTTATTTGGGGATAAAGATGAATGAATGAATGAACAGAACACTTTATTTGCTGCTTTTCAGCGTTCACAATGTTCAATCAACATTTCCACATCCAAATCAAGATATGCTGCAAAAGTCTCAAGTTGGTCTTTTTCCAAATACTCTCTCCTGACNTGTGTGTGTGTGTATGATGACAGAAAGCACAGGAGTTGGTTTCGTCTTGTTTGCAATGATGATATAATCCTCTTCGGGATTTATTATCATGGAGCACTATAAAATTATTATTGGTGGCAGCACCACAGGAGGTGCATCTCTCACTGATGCATATTTTCTTTTATATCACCCAATGCATCTATTCTTTTCTCCTGCCGTCAAACGAATCAACAGAAAAGAAGAAAGAACATACAATTTTTTAGAGTGGACATTTTAGAAAACTCAAACCTCTGCAAGTCAAAATTTCTGGAGTTCTTTTGGCTAGAGCACCATATATGCTCCAATAACTGAACCACCACAGCATCTAATTGAGATTTTCAGTTTTCACCCCTGGCCTTTAACCCTTGCATGGACAGCAAGGTTGAATTATTTTTGCAAAATTTTTTTGCACCTCAGATGAGAAGAAAAGAAAGAAATGACAACAGGGAGTTGAGAACAAAGTTGGGAAAATTTTCCAATGTTTTTTTTTTTCTTCTTGCGCAGAAAAATTTTGCTGGAAAATAAAAAATATGCTGTATCAAGCAACAGGCTTTTCTTGGATTAATCCCAACTTTGCCTCAGCCCACCTGGAAGGGCTTTTCTGACATTCAGAAAACTTGAAACACCCCAGCATATGAAAATAATCCAACTTCTGGGTAATGGGGAAGAACCCTTTGTTGTTTGAGGGCTATAACAGCTTGATGGATGGAAACAGCTTCCTCTCCATCCCAGGACAAATTCAGACTTTTTTTTGGTCTGGCAAGCATTTTATTTCCACCCATTCAATAAGTTGGGAACAATATCCACCCGTTGCCGTTTCAAACTAAAATAAACCCCTATTTCTACTTACTTACTTACTTGTCTTGTGAAATAAACGACGAAAAGTCGCAAGTGTTACAAGTTAGTTGATTTCCACATCCAAATCAAGATATGCTGCAAAAGTCTCAAGTTGGTCTTTTTCCAAATACTCTCTCCTGACTTTAAAGCTTAAATTTAATTGTTGAAGCAAATGGAAAAAAAAATTGGATTTCCCCCTGTTTCTAGGAAATGAAACAGAGATGCAAAATAAAAGGCTAAATTGTAAGGATTTCATTGTTGAGTTTTCAAGACTAGATTGAGGATTCAATTATCAGAATCCACAAAACAATAAATTCTTGAAATTTTTTTCTCCTCCCTCCCTCTTTATTCAGCCAGGTCAAAATTTGAGGCCACCAACTGATGTTCCCTTGAATCCTCATCACACTTGAAATTTTTTAATATACATTTACATTAAAAAATTGTCAGTGAGTTTTGAAAATAAAAAAAAAGAATAATTGAAAAAATAAATGAACCCTTGCATCTCAATTCAGTATCCTGTCACTTCATTCAAAAAGCAATTTCAGACCCAGACTGTCACCAAATCCAACATATGTTCTTTCACTCCTTTTTCTCTTTCTTCTCCCCAACATAAATTCAAGTTTCCTCAAGTATACATTTTGCTTATTGGTCACCAAGTTTGACATGAAGCAGATAAACCCTAAAACAACCAGAAAATGACAAGCATGGAAAATGTATTCCTCAAAAAGTCGCAAAAAAAAACGTCGCTATTTCTTTGCACCCTCATGCACGGCTGATCGTGGGAGATTTTCTCGTGAAATGATTATCTTTTTTTTCGAATTAAAAGAGACTAAAATGTTTTTTTCCCTGCTTATGTGCAGCACTGATTGATTATAATGTTAATTTCTGTAAATTATTCGTCCACGCAAGAGAAGCACTGTTTTTTTTTTTTGCACAGTTGGCAAAACACTCGCGGAATTCGCACCTTTTGAATTTTCATTCCAAAATTCGTCTAACTTTGCAAGTTACTCAAACGTGTAACTTTTGCAAACCACCATCAACAGGAAACCCAAAAAAAAAAGGTGCCGTCACTCAGTCAGCTGATGGGAAACAACAACAACAACAACAAGAGCAGCAGTTGGCGGCGGCTGCTGTGGCGGTTGTGGCGGCGATGATATGCTGCGTCCCGCACGCGGCCGACTTGGCATTACTTCGGCAAACAACCGCCGCCAGCAGTCCTCTGGGGCGCTACTAGGTCTCTCAGCAGGCCATTGACGAGCTCTGCGCCGGCGGGAAGTCAGCGGCGGGTCGCAGGCCGCCGCCGCCACCGCCCGGTGGCGGGCGACGCCAGCACGTATAATACAGACCAGCATAAATCTCGCACATTGCCGCCACTGCTTGCTTTCTCATTTCTTCCTGAATGACGTGCATTTCTTGGTTTATGCTAATAAGCAGTACAAAATTATTGAAAAAAAAACAAGACATGTATAGGACTTATTACATTCTGTCAATAATGACTTATACGCATCATGTTGTTGTGCTTAATTAAAAAAATGTTATTCGTTTCCTCTTGTTCAAGAAATCCAGCATATAATTTACCAAGAAAATAATTAAGTAAACAAGGCAGACAAAGTCGAGACTTTAAAATTGGCATCACTTGAATTTGCACATGACTGCTTCTTTATAGAGGGAAAAAGTGATGGAGAAAAGTTATTCTGGTGATTTTGCTTCTCTGACCGTCATTCTGCCATCTTTTGTCAAGTTTCAGAAGAATTTGAATCTTGGAATTAATGAGAGGGATGAAATAAATATCATGAAAAGATGAAATACAGTCAATCCCCGTCTAACGGACTTGATTTGTGCAAGGGACAAGTCTGTTAGACAAAATGTCCTTTACACAAATGCAATTACATAAAAAATTAAAAATTTCAATTTTNAACGGACTTGATTTGTGCAAGGGACAAGTCTGTTAGACAAAATGTCCTTTACACAAATGCAATTACATAAAAAATTAAAAATTTCAATTTTCAACACTAATTTAAAACCAAAAGAAGTCTGTTTGGTGGATTTTGTCTGTTTGGCGGGAGGAAAAACTGCTTGCAGAGCTGGTCTGTTTGGCTAAAATCCCTTACACGGGAGGTCTGTTAAGCGGGGGGCCACTGTACAGTCAATCCCTGCAGAATGGACTTGATTTGTGCTTGACAAATACTAGTCTGTTGTGTGAAAAGTCTCTTATGCGAATGCAATTATTGAAAAAATAATATTTTTGCTTTTCAACATTAATTCTAAACCAACAGAAGTCTGGCAGTCTGCTGTGCAAAAATCTGTCGTGCAGGAAGTCTGTTGTGCTAGGGGTTCACCTGTATTATTATGGTTGAATCCCACAAGATTGTGTTGCAGTTTCTTGTTTTTGGATTGATTTTGGGCCAACAGAAATCATTCAACATGTATTGCTGGGTCAAATCAGAGCAGCATGTCAAACATCAGCAATTTTTTTCACAGTTCTTCATGCAAAGAAATAGATACGAGGTTTTGAAAGGAGAAAAATTCCTTTAACAACTGTATTTACATTTGTGTATTGACATCAGAAGAGTGATGATGTAATTCTGAGAATAAAAAAAAAACGAGTCTAGGGATACACTGTGCACCACACCTGATGGAAGAAACTCTTAAAAATGGAAGTGCAAAATTAGCATATTTGGGATTATAAATTGGAGCAGATTTGTGATGAAATTCATTTTGA